TCTCTTTCCTCTCTTCTTTACTTCTTTCATTCCCTCATTTTATCAAGAATTATTCATAGAAGCATTTATCAATGTAATGGAAGCCGACATTTGAACTTTTAAGAGCAAAATAACTAATTAATCAAACAAGTGTAAAATCTAAAAACAAATTTAGTTTAAGGTGCATTAATAAAAAAATAGTAGCAACAGTAATGTGAAATGACAAATAACTGTGAAATATATTAATACAAAAGCAAATTCATTGAAAATGATAAATCATATAAATAACACATTCTTACCTCCACATTGCATGGTGGCCTTATGAAATTCTATGATTATTCTAAAAACTACTAATGTTTTCCTCATTTTCCAACTGAAATATGAATATTTGATATGAATACTTGAATAATAATAAAACAGCAATAAAATCAGTATAGGAGAAGTCACAAAATTCTAACATTAAACATATAGAGGAAATATATGTTGAGAAAGGAATCTGCATAATTTCTCTTCAAGTTCTTATAAAAGCAACAAAATTATAAATAGCTTTTATTAGCAAATCTGTTCAGATGTAAATATCAATCTTTTGTAGTAAGGTAATTTTTGAAAAAATTTAAAAAAAATTATCAAGTATTTAAAATAAAAAATTCGGTTTAGAGATGAAGCACAGTAAGTCAAATTTTATTTTCACTTTAAATTCTGTAGCAAAAAGCACCACTCTTTTCCCACAATTTGAAGGAAATACAAACTCTTAATCTTCTATTTATTATTATAAAATGTAGAGAAGTAAATTAATAATGCTAGAGAAGAAAATTTTTAGTTTTCAAATAATATTTTCAGCTATTCAAAATTTTGACCAAATAAACTTTACTTTGCACAATTTTTGTACTAGTATTTCAGCTTGTACCCAATATTTCAGTAAAATTTAGCACTTTTTTTAATCACACAGTATTTCTTATAAAAATGAATTCCTAGAATATTAAACTTTCCTAGATCCATGCTCTTTATTTTCATGTATTTCAATTATACTCAACAAATAACAATGCATGCAGAACAAAAATATACTGTAAGATCTTGTTCTGCCTATATTGTTAGGGAAATTAAATTGATCGATAATTGTTACTATTTGAAATTATACATAACTGCTGGCTGATTTCCTAACGACTTATTAATAAAAGAAGTTATATATATATTTTATATATATATATATATATATTGTCTCACAAAGTTGTTGAAAAAAATAATACAATTCAGTGGAAATATTTTTTAAGGAAATCGTAATAAAAAAGAATATCAAATATTGCGACTTTAACATGCATTAAAAAAAAGATATTGGATCCAAATTTTTCAATTCTTTAAATCTACTTTTACAAAAATCTGCATTTTTATTCCTCGAAAATCGAATATTCTATACACACATAAAATTCAGGACAAATACAGATAAAATACTTTTTATGAGAAACATCAAGATTATCAGGACAATTACTAACCTTATTTAGTCTAATTTTAAAAAACAGCTGTCTTGAGTATAAAAACAAACTGAGATCAAGCGTAAATAGAGAAAACCTGATTGTTCTGCCAAGATATTAAAATGAGTTTGATTTCATACACACATAACGTAAGCTGCAAAACATTTGTAACGATGGGATTATTTTTTTAAATACCGTTCAAATTTTGGTATCTTAAACCCATATCAATGACTATTAATTGTGTTCAATAAGCTTATTAGTGATGTCAACTAATAATTGACAATGTATGGATAAAAAAATATAAAAGAGTAAAGGAAAAAAATTTAGATTGGCTATTTATGAACACTCATTTTATATAGCAGGTATATCAAGACAACAATTATAGGCAGCTCTGCCAGTGCCTTCAAGGAAATAGCTTTTAGGATTAAATTGACCTGTAAAAGAAATCAAATATATGAAAAATATAAAAAAAAAAAAGATAAATCACAAAGTAACACTTCTTAATGCTTGTAAGTATAGAAGAAAGTAATTTTGTAATTTTTAGTATAACATTTTTCTTTAAACACACATAAAACCACATAAAACTGGAGAACCATGCTATTAATTTGGTTAAGAGAACTACAAGTTTAACTTTATAGATACAATAAATTGTTATGCCTTCATTACGTATTATAAGCAACAAAGTATGACATTTATAAAAGGATGGCTGAGTTCAGGGACAGGGAGCTTTCGGAGCTTGCTCCAAGTCCCTTCGGTTTCTGAAAAGTAAACAATTATTTGACAGTTGATTTTTTGAATGATCCAGTTCATATTTTTCATGTGACATCATTATTCCTCATTTCATAATTCTTTTAACAATATTTTAAATAATTCTATCAAGAAAAACAAACTACAAGAAAGAAAAAGTCAGAATTTAAAAAAATAAAAAGATACAATTCACAATTTTTGGAAACCTAAGGAACATTCTTACTGGTTCTGGCTTGATCCTTCTGTTTAAAATGCATCAATCATATTTTCAATTTCTTAGTTTCATATGAATTTTTATTTTTTTGAAAAGGATAAAATAAAGATAAAAAACTGTCTCTGTTTTGTTGAAAATACTTGCATAAAAAATTAAAGTTTATTTTCAAAATAGTTTAATTCAATACAAAACTGTTTGTTAATAAAAAAAAATTAAATAACTCTAATCGGTAGCTCAAGATTAAAACAATAAAAAACATTCTGTTTTTGAATTGCATTGCTAGAATACCTAAGAGCAAGTTCCAAAACCTCCAAGGCAGAGAACTAACCCAATGTAAAAGGGCACAGGTAATGTTGTAAGTTAAATAAATATTACACTAATACAGTGTCTCTTCAATTACTTAACAAGGTTATTTTTCAATTTTTGTAAGTCATTCAAATTGAAACATAATAAAAACTTAGTTTGAAAAGTAAATTTCCAAATTCTAAATTTAACTTCATATTTTTTTTAGCTAGAATATGTAATTAAAGATAGTTAAGTCAGCTGCATGTTTTAAAAAAAAAATTATAAAATATTATAAATGTAAAAAAAAAAACAAAAAAAAAACAATTTTAATGCAATTTGTAGTNCACCATCTTATATTAACCGCAAAAACATTGCTTTATATAGTTTGTCTAAAGTAAGAATTCCCCTAACTATTTGTCTGGGCCTGTGGAGGTGACTATGGTAATGAGGTCTAATCAAAGAATAAAACTAATTGACAAATTCAGAAAAAGACAGAATAAGTAAGTAATAATTAAAATAATAAGTTAAAATCGAAAAGCAACTGAATCCAAATTTGTTTTATTTTAATTTATAAAGTCAGTACAATTCTGACAGGACAGTACTTCATCAGGGGACACACTGCCGGCCAACACACAGAAGCCTTTCAGTTGTTAGTGGTGAAATCAAAAACTGACTGCGTCCCCAAGGCCTCATAATGGAAAATTAAATAAGAAAAAGCAATTAAAAAAATTGAAATGTAAATGCAAAGAAAAATTAATGACAAACAGTCCCAATTTAAAAGTTCACATCGTATGATTTAAAAGCACACAGTCTAAGATCTAATAAAGAGACTCCCACATATAAAAAAAATATAAATTGCCAAATCATTAAGAAAACTCTAGAAATAAGTCAAGTGCTGACCCCTTTTGGAAAATCCTGAAAAAATAAAACAGAAAAACATTAAATGAGTAAAAATTTTTAAAAAGTGCTGCCATCTATATGGGGTAACGAAGTATAACTATTTCAAGTGGGGTCGTTGTTTAGAACAGCTTTTGCCTCGAGTCGACGAAAGAAAGGGAATCCTTTTCTTTGCCCTATAATGAAGAGAAGCTACCCTCCCTGAAATGCGCTATTCTTGGTTCTATAGCAGCAGATGGCCACAGACTTTGTGGTAGGCAGAGTTCATATCATAGACAAACTATACCTATGCTTAACATATTAACCAATGTTCATAACGAGTACAAACTGGTTTTACAAGTAAAACTGATTTAAAATAAAGTATAAAATAATGGCCACTTATTAATCTAAACAATTAAACATATTATAAACTGCTGTTTGTAGAAAATGTATTCAATAACTCTAATATTTATCTCAAATTTAAAGCAAATAAAAAAAATTCTGTTTTTGAATTATATAGCTAGAATACCTAAGAGCAAGTTCCAAAATCTCCAAGGCAGAGAACTAACCCAATGTAAAAGGATACAGGTAATGTTGTAAGTTAAATAAATAATACACTAATACAGTGTCTTTTCAATGACTTAACAAGGTTATTTTTTAATTTTTGTAAGTCATTCAAATTGAAACATCATAAATTTAGCTTGAAAAGTAAGCTTTCCAATTCTAAATTTATTGCATTATTATCATTAAAATTAAAATATCTTCAGCTTAATTTAGAAGGCTTATACAGATTGAAAGTATGCATACATGATTTTTTCTTTAAGAGATGTTAAAGTATATACCACTAAAAATTGACCTGAAGTTCGAACTAATTAAGGAAGAAAAAAGATTCCAAGCACGTTTTAGAATTAAATTACGAAAAAAATGCTCCTCACATTAATTTTTAAATGAAGTTACTTCATAACTTTTTTAATTTTACTTGAATATCATTTTTGAAATTTAATAGCATTGAGAATAATAATGAAAACAATTCTAAAATGCAATTAAAGTCTTCAAAATTAGAATATGAATGAGCTTTAGGAAGGTTTAGAAAGAAAAAACAGACCTTTCAATGGGCTCCTGAAACCATATTTAAATTTAAGGCTTTTTTAGGAATGGAAACCTTTCCATACTTGTGAATAAGTTAATTTTTAAATATTACCAAAGCTACGTCAAATAGTTTAAATTTTATAATGGTTTATTAGCCAAATAACTATATTTTTTTTTGCTTACTCAGGAAATGAAAGAGAAAAAATAGAATAATCTAATCTGCATGTATTTAAAAAGGCTTTCAAACACAAGACTTGAAATTTTCATATTAAATGCACTAATAATTAATTTAATAACTAAAAAAAAACTGATACACAGGTGCTAAAATTTTTTTTACTCACCATCTGAGTAGTTGAATCTGGGCCCCTTTTTTAACTTTTCTTAATTTGAATCAGTGCTATGGTAAATGTTTCTTTCAATAACGGTTCCGATGTAGCTGCCGATAAAATTTTTACTTTTGGAATAGGCCGTAGTTCAAACATAAGATGCAAGTAATTAGGCAGATCTTTGTAAATAGTCTTTACATAAAGCAGAAACGTCTGTATCTAAAAATAATTGGAAAATCACAAAAGCTTAATTATTTTTTTACAATTTAGAATATATTTTCTTCTTTCAATCAGTATGCAACATGATAATATAACCAACTGATTTCATGATTCTGTTAAGAATCATACTAATAATAATCATACATTACACTAATGCTCTTTCAAATATTTTGCCTTTCTTAATATAATCATAATTAATATCATGATGTTATGATAGTTATACGATATGGGAAATACATCATATAATTATTATAATTTCATATGTTATCACAATAACGGTGGAGCTTGTTTATATATCACAAAACTGTATTCATATTGAACAATGCAGAGTATTAAATATTTAAACATAATATTTTTTCTTCTTCAATAAAAAGTTTGCCATAAACCAATTCTGATTAAATAAACAACAGACACTACAAAAGAAAGTGCCTGCAGTCAATCGTTTTTAATTAAAATTTCAAAAGAAAAAAACACATAAATGTTTCGTAAAATTTCAACAAGAAGTTAAAAAGAATATACAGTTTTTTTTAAAAAAAAAAAGAACTACTGCAGAAAATTGCATTGAGTTAAAATATTTACAAGTTACTAAATTTATGATGAAATCTACTTCATTTTAATACATAGATTTAAATTTGATAGATTTAAGTTTTCTTTTGCTTTGAAGTCACAAGATGATTATACTATTCTTTATGATTTTTTGTATTTTTGAGGTATTAATAATAGCTAAATTTTTTAAATATATCATTATTTTCACATCACTGCATGCAACCCTTAGATTTCTCACTCACTTAAGTTTTATTTTAATATGCTTGACGTTTTGGTATATTGTGGTTTAACAGGATGGTGAAGAGTACCAAAACAAACAATATAAATTAAGTGAATAAAAAAAGTATTTAAACCATAGAAATAAAAAAAGAGGTTTTAATTACATTAAAAAGATTTATTTAGAACAAATTACCAATGAATGGAGAAACTTATAAACACTGAATAAAGAGAATTTCTATATTTCTCCATAAAGCTTCTTTTATTTATTTTTCTCTACTTTATAAATCATGAAAATTTTAAAGGTTTCTTTCACACTGGACTTTAAAATAATCACAAAAGTAAAAATAATTCAAAGTACAATTTTCCAGTTGTGTTGTGGGGGAATCATTGATATTTCACATACCCTAATATTTTGAGTTAGTCACACTAAGATTAAAAGAAACCCACAATATATTCATTTTTTTCACTATGACTTTCATTTAAATTTAGTGCAAAAATAGCATTTTATAATATTTAAAAAATAAATTTGTGACTAAGATTCATTATTATTCAAAAAAAAAAATTATTTAAGGATCATAGCAATTTGGATTGGAAAAACAATACTCATCGATATTCCTCAGAATTTTTCATTAAATAAAAGCAAAGAATATGGAATTTTTTTAAGCAATGTACATTAAAAACCTTGAGAAATTAAAACAAGAAAACTTTAGGAACAATTTGCCAAGAAATTTCTGTACAGAGAATTTAAAATGAGTTAACTCCTTGTGATCATTGACATTTATATGGCAAATTATGGCTTATAAGCCTTATTTATAAATTGATTCTTCGCAGAACTATTATCCTCCTTTCTTTCCTTCTCTCATTTTATCAAAAATTATTCATATTAGCATTTGTCATTGTAATGGAAGCCTATATTAATATCTTTTTAAACTCTTAAGTGCAAAATAACTAATTAATCAAACAAGTGAAAAATCTAAAATAAATCTCTTATAAGATACATTATATTCTATATATCTCTTATACATATATACATATATCTCTTATAAGATACATCCACTTAAGTCAATATTCTTTTCCCCATGCAAATGAAAGTTAAAAAACCTATAGAAACACATTCCACTCAATGTAATGCAAAAATTTACAAAAGTTGATTAATAAAATAGTTTTCAAAGAATCTGTACATGTGAGAAATGTATTAATACAAAAGCAAATTCACTGAATATGATAAACCATATAAGTAACACATTCTTACTTCCACGCTTCATGGTGGCCTGAAGGTCTTATGAAATTCCATGATTATTCTGAAAACTACTAACATGTTTTCCTCATTTTCCACCTAAAATATGAATATTTGAATAAAAATAAAACATCAATAAAATCAGTATAGGAGAAGTCATAAAATTCCAACATTAAACATATAGAGGAAATATATGCTGAGAAAAATATCTGCATAATTTCTCTAAGTTTTTATGAAAGCAACAAAATTCTAAGTTAATAAACAGCAACATTTTATTAGCTAATCTGTTCAGATGTAAATATCAATCTAATGTAGTTAAGTAATTTATAATTATTTATTATTATAAAATGTAGAGCTAGAGAAGAAAATTTTCAGTTTTCAAAAAATATTTTCAGCTATTCAAAATTTTTACCAAATAAACTTCACTTTGCATAATTTTTGTATTAGTATTACCTCGGTGAGATAAATTTAATTTTACTTATAATATTATTTATAATTACGGGCTTACAAATCCTGGGCACATGGTTGCCTAAAGACTTACAGCCCAATATTTCAGTAAAATTTAACACTTTTTTTAATCAAACAGCATGGCTCATAAAAATAAAATCCTAGAAGTTTAAACTTTTCTAGATCCATGCTCTTGATTTTTATGTATTTCAATTATACTCAACAAATAACAATGCATGCAGAACAAAAACATACTGTAAGTTCTTGTTCTGCCTATAATGTTAGGGAAATTAATTTGATCAATAATTTTTACTATTTGAAAATATACATATCTGCTGGTTGATTTACACACAACTTATTAATTAAAGTTTTTTTTAATAATATATATTATATATATATAATTGAGTCACTTATTAAGAAGATAGTTGCTACTTACTTCCAATGATTTGAACATTAAAGACAAGATTGGTTTGCTATCAGGTAGCAAATGATTATTAGCAGGGAGCGTATGAATTATTTCTACAATTGTCTTACGAAGTTGCTGAAAAAAATAATAAAATTCAGTAGAAATATTTTTTAAGGAAATCGTAATAAAAAAGCAAATAAAAATATATAATTAAATAATAACTTTAAGCAAATATTTTCAAAACCACAACAAGAATCATATTAGCTGCTAGAGTTGAGCAACAAAACCATTCTTAACCATTGTGATAACAATGTTTGATTTATATTGAGTAAATTTGAATACATATTGAGTATATGATAATTTTCAACAATGATAAATATCAAAAACACAATTACAGGATATTTGCTACATTTTAGATTTTCAAATTCATGACTTTCCATGATTAATTCCAAGAATTTTTCATGACTTAACGAACTTACTATTTTCTACTACAAAAACTGCCAGGCTTTAAGGCACAATAAATTTTAAAAAGCATTATAAAAACATTCACTGAAATGATAGGTATAACCAAAATTGTTATAGTCTGCATCTTCATATTTATAGATTTTAAATTTAAAACACAGAGTAAAGAAAGAGTTGAAGCAATAAAATAGCTGAAAAAATACAAAATCAAATATTTTTCTTTTTTCCCGCAGAATTACATTCTAAAGATACTTTTCTTATTCATCGGAAAGGAAAGAAATACACCTGATTTTCCTGTTCTCATTTCGGAATAAAAAATTTGCCAATGACTGGTTTGCTTCAGCTAGAATTTAAAATTGATAAAATAAAAAAAATAAATAACAAAAATTCTGAAATCACAGAAGTTTAAAAGATAATTTGCTCTAGAAATGGTTTTTCTTTCATTTTTTGAAAGAACACTATAATTTTTAAAGAACAGGATAAAAACACTCTATATTTTAATGAAATATAATTGTGAGTGGGGATTTTATTACAAATTCAGATATTCTGAACACCATGATATTGGAGAGGAGGGTAAATTCCATTTTAAAAATTAGATTTTTAGGCAACCTAAATCCATGACTTTTCATGTTTGTTTTTTTAAAAAAATAGTTAAAATCATGACATTTCATGACAAATTTTGTTCAATGCTGAAATTCATGACTCTCCATGATTTTTCATGACTTTCCAGGTGCGCGGGTACCCTGCAATTATCAATTACAGTTCTTGAACATCAAAAAATTGCACTCTTTATTGAAAATGATAAATATAGAATGTGATAATTTCAGGAGTATTGACATTGATAATTATAGATTATAATATTACGTTGAATTTTATATTTTGTTTGGTTAACAAAAACTGGACCAAAGTCAATAGTTAAACTTTAAAAATATTGTAATACACTGTGAAATATGTATGTTTCATGACAATATATCATAATATTAAAATTCAAATTAGGCCCGATTAGTTACCTTTTAAAAAAATTGTCAATAAAATATTAGACAACAGACAGATTATGAGACAGATTATATAATGAGAAGTACCTAGAGTTCTCAAATTTAATTTTGAAATTATATGATGAAAATATGGAATTTCCTATTTGCTAGTAAATTTAAAAACAATTAATAAATCTCTAATAACTTGAATAGACAAAAAATTGCAATAGATTTAAATAAAAAAGAAGCCTTTATACATTATTATTAAATAAAATACAAACATTGCCAAAGCTGAAGACATTAAACAGGCTTTGTAGCAGGCCAACGAAAAAATCAGGACAGCAACTCAAAACTAAATAAAATAGGACAAAATCAGAACAGATTTGGAACGACAGAGCATTTTTTGGAACAGTTAATTAAGAAGTATAATTTACTCCACTTAATAGTAATAAAATAAAATTTCACAGCAAAAAAATTACTTGTTCATAGCAAAAAGTTTTAACAGTTCCCATAAAAATTTTATCAATACAGAACAACAAATAATAGTTCTACTCAAGACATAGAAAAATTTGAGGAGACTCTTGCATTAAAAAAATGAACAGTATCAATTCATCAATATTTTACTCATACCAATATATATTTCAAATCTGTAATTGAGTTGAAGATTTCTTTAATCTAATTGAAGTAACGTTTCAATAATCTCAAAACTAAAATGGAATTATAAAAATATTCTTTTCATTATTGTTAGTTAAACATATATTCAAATTCTTTTATTTTTATTTATTATTTAAAAAAATATTTTTATAAACGTAGTACGTTTGATTTCAATGGTGTGCCTCTAGTCTTTAAGTTTCAAATTCAAACTGTGATGTATCAAAATAAATATTTTTTTTTCTTCATTAGAGTAATAAAACTAATAACATGTTTATCATTAATAGTCTATTAATACTAATATAGGAGGGAGGATAAATAGTGTTTTTTGTGTCTCAGCTTGCTTAAACAGTTTTTAAAAAGCTTTTGAGTCAATCACTTGAATGCTCCTTAATTCTTAGAATTTAAATTCTTATTTGCCATTCAATTAAATTCAATGATCTTCATACAATTGGTGCTAAAACATTAATTTCTAAATAAATAAATTTATCAATATATGGGAAACTAAACTGTCAATTGTTAAAGAAAAAAAATTGGTAAAAAAGTGAAAAATGAAATCAAAAAATCGGAGGCAAATTTAAATATCTAGAAAATGGGGAGGGGTTTAAAAAGGTTCCTGTAATTCGGTAGTCAAAATTGAATTGAATGCTGGGCTTAACGGCACAATGACTTTAATTGTGGCATATATAATCTGCGAAATTATGAAAAATGAACTGTCATTCCTGAAACTGAAAAAATAAATTTCGAATTCTCCATACAATGACATTCTGAATATTGCATTTTACTATATTAAATTTAAATCTTACTTCAAGCTCTCCACTCGATTCTGGCAAAGCTTTCAATTTACTTTCATCCTCTATAAAAGAAAAGAGAAAATTAAAGTTATGCAATATAAAAATCAATAGGAAAAGTGAATTAATGACAGACAAATAAATAAAATAAGCTATAATTATAGGTTACTACAATAAATGTATAAAATATATTTGATCAAAGTTTTGCTTTAAAAAGAAATGTGGATTTGATTAAATTAAAAATGAAAAGTAAGAATATTTAAGTATAATTTTTGATCAGGTGCAGATAAATACAATGATTTACTTATAAGTACATAAATTATCTTTAAGTAAGTAAGATTTAAGTAGATAAGTAAGATTTATTTATAAGTATATTACTTAGGTTATTTTATTTCTTGTGAATATCAATGTATGAGAATTGTAAACATTACCAACAAAGTAACATGAGCCATAAGTATATAGTTGTTCATTAGGTACATCCATCCATGTAATCTCAAATACTAAATTGCTATGAGAAATTTTCAAGTGAAAATAAATTCTGATTTTTGAATTCCCAATGACTAAGTATTAAACTTACTTGCAACAGGATCTTTGAGCATTGATACATATGAACAGTAAGTATTCACAACAGCAACAGGATCATTAATGGATGCTGATACACTCATTACTGGTATCCTTGCCATGCTTAAGGACTCCAGAAAAAGCTATTCAGTGATAAAACTCACCTCCAGTTTTAACAATTCTATAAAAAAAACTTTAATATTTTTAGGAATTTGCATAAATTGTAAGGACTACAATTATTCATAGGCTAAAAGTAAACATGTATTAGAAATTTAAAAAAAAAAAAACAGATTATTCTGTTTTATAAGAACAAGAAATGTTATATTAGAGTTTTCACTTAACGACCACTTAAAGTTTCAGTCTCTAGCTGAGTTATATTCTATAAAATAATATAAATATAGTTGACGCCCAATATAATGACACCTCTGGTCCAAACAAAAGCGAATGAGATAACATGAGTTTGCTTTATCGTGTTTATATGTAGTGCACATATTTACTTAGATTTTATACTAGATACCTTTTTAAAAAAGTAGAGTTTCAGTTATTTTGAGATTTATAATCCAAAATCAAAACAATATATAACTACAAACTCATAATGCTTTAGGAACTGTGGATTTAATTTTTGCCTCTTACATGCTCGCACTTTCAGATCTGGTTAATATTTATTAGGTCTTTAGTACATATTCTCACAAACACATAATAACAACTAAGACAAGCACATGCATACATTTTTAGTGACTATTCGCTTGCTCCCAGTGAAGCGAAAAGTACCGGTAGTTATACTCCAACAGCCATGAACTTGGTTACCCTTGATTAGTTTACCCTCACATAAGGTTCAACAATTGCGTAATATTTTCACACAGATTAACTAAGAAAGCAGAATTTTATTTACAATTATTAGTTAAGTTTCTATATAGTAATAATCAGGGATGAAAGAACCAGTTAGCAAAAAAAGCTGAATTCTATATAAACACAATCAAACATTATGAAATTAATAAATGTATGGAGCTTAAAAAGCTTTGAAAAAAGCTGATTTCAGTGTAAACGCTGAAAACTTTCATGCCTGAATAATGAGGGGAATATTTCTGTATCCTGATCTGTCATGCCGACTATAAGGTAACAAAATTATTTTAAATTTGCAAACTAAAAAAAATAAATAAAACAAGTAGAAATTTGTCTAAGGACGGCTATGAGTAATATCCTTTCAGTAGCCCCCCTTTTATGTTTTTTTTTTTTAGTTTCTCAAGGATCACTCTGAAAGCTTTTTCAAGGATCAAGGATCACATGAAAGCTGACAAAACTATACAACGATACAGAAATCTTCCTATAATGAGAAACTTGATACAGCAAGGTAAAATAAACGTACAGCAATATGTGATTAAGGCAATAAAAATTTAATAGAGTTGCAAAAACTACGGTTTACCAATTTTAAAAAGGGAGAAAAAAAGGAATTAAAAAGATTATAGAAAAACGGTCATTACAGCAATTTAGACTCATTGAACTTGTATAATTATAAAGATAAAACAACTGCATTTACACCGGCACTAGGTTTGATAAATTTCCACGGCTCAAATGTAAAAAAATGTTACACAAAATTTTCTTCGAAAAATATTAGTTGCATTTAAATGTGCAATGCAAAATTGCTGAGCTTTTATATAAATAATTCTTAAGTTGCGCTTATTACTATGAGAAATAAAAAAAAAAGAACTCACACCATTCTTAATTGACATTGACTAATGCTGATACACATACTGGAATATTTCAAACTATTTTCATTAAATAATTAAGGGTATGCTTAGTGAAATGCTCAGTATTGAGAATAGTTATCACAGCCTATTGTTTGTTTACAAACTGATTTCATAATTATGTAAAGGATCCGGTTGCCTATTTCTGCAAATGTTACTATCCCGTTCAAATGGAAATACTCAATTTGTAAAAAGCCATTGTCACTGCATGCAAAAGTGAATCTCAAAAGCGAATTTTTCGCTAGTGAATATTCATTCATAATTTTCACCAATATCATGCGAAAGAAAATTTGATTCGCACACAGTGTTGCGGCGGCGAAGAATAGGACCACCTACTCGAACTCCGCTGTTCCACATTGTTCTTTGGCTCCTTGTTGGTTCGGGTTGCTTTCGGCAGGATTGCCGCAAAAAAATGTACACACTGAATACGAAAAATTCGAAAACGTGAATGGTCCAAATTTTAGAGTCATCTGCTGTGACCAGTTTTGCATCGTGGTTCAACGCTTTCTCTGCATTCTCAGCATTAGAATTTTAAATTCAAGTCGAAGGGTTAAAACTTTTCTCAGACTTGCGTGTGACGGCGAGTTCATCTGCCCAAAGAAACTAATCGATTCAAGGTTCTACGTAGTCGTCCACCACCATGAACCACCTCTTTACGGTTTAATTGAATAAAAGCCGGAAATGGCTATGCTGCGCTAAGTACAAGGGTATAATTTGAGGAAACGTGTTATCTAGCATAACTGTTGAATAGTTTAATTACCCTGATGGCTATAAAATATCAAAATTGAGCCTTTTTTTTCCTTTGTTTCAGAAGAAATACATAATCTATTTAGCGATATCGATCTTGGTAAAAACGTGTTATTTAGCATTAAAGGGGTAATTGGGCTCATTATAAAAGCCTGAAAGTAACTTTCTCTTAGTTTTTCTTATTCTCCCAATAAGAACAAGTCCTAAGTAGCCCCTAATATTAGATAATATCAGAAAATTGGTAAAATCTATCGTTATCTTGCACAACTTCTAATATTAGAAAGATCCAAGAGGTCGCTGTTTGCTCTGCATTAGATTCTATTTAAACTAATATTATCTAGCTTTCGCCGTTATATTATTTTGCACTAGTTTCGATGCCATATAATATTAGATTTTGTATTTTCTGATATTATCTTGCGTTGCTTTTTATTTTTGGAGTAAGCAAGAGGATTTGGATGGTAGTAGAATAATTCGGCGATATAATTTTACTTAATTTTCTGTATAGCTGTGAAGCAGTAAAACATGGAACAATAGTTTTATAATGTCATTCCATGCACTATTTACTAAGCAATACAGAAATTACTAAATAAAATTATTTTAGCGAACTCTGTTACCATCCATTTTCCTCCCTCTTACTCCTAAGTATATCTTAAGTTCTGCTGATTTTTTTTTAATATTTCAAATTTATTTAAGACTCAAATACTCAATACACAAATATTACTATACTCAATGCTAAAAATACTCAATAATAAAAATACTCAGTAATAAAAACAGTCAATAATAAAAATACTCTATAATAAAAATTCTCAATACTCAAAATTATAAATAGTCAAATTTGGACTACGTGGTCCAAATTTGAGTACTTATTTCATTTTAGCAATAATTATAATTTGAATAACTAATAAAAATAAGTAATTAATACCAATTATTCCCCCTACATCGAATACAAAACATCGAATACCTGAAAAAGTATCGATTTGAAATTTTTAAAAGTTTTCTGTTTACCGCAAATTTTACCTTTCCAACTTCCTGGTATGTGAGAAGATCAGAAATGAAAGACGAAGAGCTTCGTCTTTTATTATATACCGATATTATAGAATTCGATATTACATATCATGCAATACATCATGTATATAGATTTTTACATCATTATAAAATATTTCAGAAAAGAAAATACAAAATTTTATTCAAATGTATATGCAATGTTTAAAATAATACGACAATTGCGATTTGAATTATTCGAAGCATTTGCGTTTTCTGCGCTATACACAAATACGCTATACATACACACGTACATTACATGTACATTGGGCTAAGAAAGAAAAAAAAACGGAACACCAAGAATAACTTTTGACTCAGTGATCGAATTTTCCCATGGTAAGACTTGATTTTAGTTGTTAAGGACCTAACTTAAATATGCTAATTAATTAGCTAGAAATTATAAACTCAGACACAAAACGTGCTTCCTCTGAATAAACATTTTTTTCCCCTGATGGATTTGGATTCCTCGCCGTCAGATTGCGGTTATGGGGTAGTAGCAATCTGAAAAATGTGCCAGGAGAGCAAACCGGAAGCTTGGATTAATGTTAATATATTTTTTATATTTTAACGTAAACAAAGTGTTCTGTATATAAAAATAACTACTTTTTTTAGGAAATAGCGAATAATAGCTAATAAACGGATAAATTTCGGATAATTTTTATTTATTTATTTATTTTATTTTATGTTAATTTTTTAACTTCTTTTTCAACATTTTTAAATGAATAGAGTGTTCTATATATGAAAAGAATTATTTTTCTTTGCTAAANTTTTTTTGTTGGGAAATAGCGAATAATAGCTAATAAACGGTAAAATTTTGGATAATTTTTACTTATTTATTTATTTTATGTTATATTTTTAATTTCTTTTTCAATATTTAACGTGAATAAAGTGCTCTATACGTAAAAAGAATTATTTTTCTTTCTTAAAGAGCGAATAATGGCTGAAAGAGAGACAAAAGTCNCATATCAGGAGGCACACACACATCACATCCCGTAACTCCCTATAACATTAACCTATAAATTTCAAACTCGGCACGAAATTAGAGGTTAATGTACCAATAAATTGAACAGAAGGAATTTTTTATATTCCTATTAGTGGGCCCACGATGGGCCAAAATAAGTTTTGTTGACTAACCGGGAGGAGGTGTTTTAAGCTAAATATTTCCGGGACTGGTAAGTGAATCGTGGCGCAGTTGATAGCGCTGTGGGTGAAGTTGTTATGTAGTCCCGAAGGTCCTGGGTTCGAAACCCTGCTAGCGTTGACTTTTAATTTCTTTTATTTATTTTATATTTTGTTTTTTAATATGTTATTCGACATTTCAACGTAAATAAAGTGTTCTGTATATAAAAATAACTATTTTGTTTTAGGAAATTGCAAATAATAGCTAATAAACTGATAAATTTTGGATAATTTTTATTTATTTATTTATTTTATTTAATTTTTTTATCTTCTTTTTCAACATTTTTAAATGAATAGAGTGTTCTATATATGAAAAGAATTATTTTTCTTTGTTAAAGAGGGAATCATGGCTGAAAAAGGCGCAAAAGTCATATCAGGAGGCACGCACACATCACATCCCGTAACTCCCTATAACATTAACCTATAAATTTCAAACTCGGCACGAAATTAGAGGTTAATGTACCAAAAAATTGAACCAAAGGAATTTTTTATATACCTATTAGTGGACCCACAATGGGTCAAAATAAGTTTTGTTGACTTACCGGGAGGAGGTGTTTTAAGCTAAATATTTGCGGGACTGGTAAGTGATTCGTGGCGCAGTTGATAGCGCTGTGGGCAAAGTTGCTATGTGTCCCGGAGGTCTTGGGTTCGAAACCCTGCTTGCGTCGACTTTTAATTTCTTTTATTTATTTTATATTTTGTTTTTTAATATTTTTTTCGACATTTCAACGTAAATAAAGTGCTCTGTATATAAAAATAACTGTTTTGTTTTAGGAAATAGCAAATAATAGCTAATAAACTGTTAAATTTCGGATAATTTTTATTTATTTATTTATTTTATTTTATGTTATTTTTTTAACTTCTTTTTCAATATTTTTAAGTGAATAAAGTGTTCTATATATGAAAAGAATTATTTTTCTTTGTTAAAGAGCGAATAATGGCTGAAAAAGGGACAAAAGTCATATCAGGAGGCACGCACACATCACATCCCGTAACTCCCTATAACATTAACCTATAAATTTCAAACTCGGTACGAAATTAGAGGTTAATGTAACAAAAAATTGAACCAAAGGAATTTTTTATATACCTATTAGTGGACCCACAATGGGTCAAAATAAGTTTTGTTGACTTACCGGGAGGAGGTGTTTTAAGCTAAATATTTGCAGGAATGGTAAGTGAATGGTGGCGCAGTTGATAGCGCTGTGGGCAAAGTTGCTATGTGTCCCGGAGGTCTTGGGTTCGAAACCCTGCTTGCGTCGACAATTAATTTCTTTTATTTATTTTATATTTTGTTTTTAATATGTTTTTCGACATTTCAACGTATATAAAGTGCTCTGTATATAAAAATAACTATTTTGTTTTAGGAAATAGCGAATAATAGCTAATAAACTGATAAATTTTGGATAATTTTTATTTATTTTATTTTATTTTCTTAACTTCTTCTTCAACATTTTTAAATGAATAAAGTGTTCTATATATGAAAAGAATTATTTTTCTTTGTTAAAGAGCGAATAATGGCTGAAAAAGGGACAAAAGTCATATCAGGAGGCACGCACACATCACATCCCGTAACTCCCTATAACATTAACCTATAAATTTCAAACTCGGAAAGAAATTAGAGGTTAATGTAAAAAAAATTGAACCAAAGGAATTTTTTATATACCTATTAGTGGACCCACAATGCGTCAAAATAAGTTTTGTTGACTAACCGGGAGGAGGTGTTTTAAGCTAAATATTTGCGGGTCTGGTAAGTGAATCGTGGCGCAGTTGATAGCACTGTGGGCAAAGTTGCTTTGTAGTCCCGGAGGTCCTGGGTTCGAAACCCTGCTTGCGACGACGTTTAACTTATTTTATATTTTGTTTTTTAATAGGTTTTTCGACATTTCAACGTAAATAAAGTGTTCTGTATATAAAAATAACTATTTTTTTTTAGGAAATAGCGAATAATAGCTAATAAACTGATAAATTTTGGATAATTTTTTTTTATTTATTTATTTTATTTTATGTTATTTTTTTAACTTCTTTTTCAACATTTTTAAATGAATAGAGTGCTCTATATAAGAAATAAATTCTTTTTTTTTTGTTAAAGAGCGAATAATGGCTGAAAAAAGGGACAGAAGTCGTATCAGGGGGAGCGCACACATCACACCCCGTAACCCCCATTTAAATTAACCTATAAATTTTAAACTCGGCTCGAAATTAGAGGTTAATGTAACAAAAAAGTGAACCAAAGGAATTTTTTATATACCTATTAGTGGACCCACAATGGGTCAAAATAAGATTTGCTGACTTACCGGGAGGAGGTGTTTTAAGCTAAATATTTGCAGGACTGGTAAGTGAATGGTGGCGCAGTTGATAGCGCTGTGGGCAAAGTTGTTATGTAGTCCCGAAGGTCCTGGGTTCGAAACCCTGCTATCGTTGACTTTTAATTTCTTTTATTTTTTTGTTTTTTAATATGTTATTCGACATTTCAACGTAAATAAAGTGTTCTGTATATAAAAATAACTATTTTTTTTAGGAAATAGCAAATAATAGCTAATAAACTGATAAATTTTGGATAATTTTTATTTATTTATTTATTTTATTTTATTGTTTTAACTTCTTTTTCAACATTTTTAAATGAATAGAGTGTTCTATATATGAAAAGAATTATTTTTCTTTGTTAAAGAGCGAATTATGGCTGAAAAAGGGACAAAAGTCATATCAGGAGGCACGCACACATCACATCCCGTAACTCCCTATAACATTAACCTATAAATTTCAAACTCGGCACGAAATTAGAGGTTAATGTAACAAACAATTGTAGCACAGGGATTTTTTATAAACCAGTTAGTGGGCCCACATTGGGCCAAAATAAGTTTTGTTAAACTAACTGGGAGGAGGTGTTTTAAGCTAAATATTCGCGGATCTGGTATGTGAAGTGTGGCGAAGTTTGTAGCGCTTTCGCAAGTTAGATACGAAGTCCCGAAGTTCCTGGGTACAAAACCCTGAGATGGTCGACTTTCAAATATTTTTATATAATTTTTTAAACATATTTTTCGATATTTTAACGTAAATAAAATGTTCTGTATGTAAAAATAACTTTTTTTTTTTTTGGAAATAGCGAATAATAGCTAATAAACTGATAAATTTTGGATAATTTTTATTTATTTATTTATTTTATTTTATGTTATTTTTACAACTTCTTTTTCATTATTTTTAAATGAATAAAGTGTTCTATATATGAAAATAATTATTTTTCTTTGTTAAAGAGTGAATAATGGCTGAAAAAGGGACAAAAGTTATATTAGGAGGCACGCACACATCACATCCCGTAACTCCGTATAATATTAACCTATATATTCCAAACTCGGCCTGAAATTAGAGTTTAAGGTAACGAACTAATGAACCAAAGAAATTTTTTATTGACCATCTAGTGGACCCACAATGGGCCAAAATAAGTTTTGTTGACTAACCGGTAGGAGTTGTTTTAAGCTAAATATTTGCGGGACTAGTAAGTGTAAGTGTCGTTATGTAGTCCCGGAGGTCCGGGGTTCGAAACCCTGCAAG